CCCCCTCGAAAACCCTCTTTAGCTGCCACACGACTCAGCTGTACGCAGTACGTCCTAGCATTGGGAATGGAACCGTGTAGCAGCAGCTCTATGCATGGATCCTTTGATATTCTACCGGTAACACCGGTCCTCTTGCACTCCGGTCTAGACTACCTCCTCTCTGCCGCTTGACCGAGTAGTTGATATAAAACCCTTCACTTCTTTCCTACCGCTGGTCAGACCCATATGGAAAATGGGGAGATAGGTTCAGATACCACAATTCACGCGAAGAAGATAGAGGTCAGAACAGCAGCATCGATGGGAAGGGCAGTGGTAGAATAAGAGGTGCTTAGCGTCGATTAAAAGGCGCTTTTCCGTCTAGGGAGAAGGGGAGCTTCCTTGAACGCGTACCCCTTCTTTCTAACGTGCTGTGGAGGGTGCGTGGGGGAAGGACTCGGTCTGACCACCCATTCGGTCAGCATGGACAGTGCTTTTAGTTTTGCTTTGATAAGTAGCCAGAAAATTTTTAAACCATAATATTCATTGAAAGTAATTAAAAAATACTCGTGAAATTCGCGAGAGCGAAAGAATATTTCCCATCCACGCTACTCTCGGACGCTTCCATGTGCATTGCCTTCAAATGATCTCTGAAATTCACCTGTTTTTTTTTGGCTTCTTATTCCTCAAAACCTTCGAACTGTGTGGGCCACGACGGGGGTAGGGAGCCGTGCGTGAATAGATTTTCTGGCTTCTTATTGCTTGAAACTTCCAAATTAGGATTGCTGCGGCTAGGAGGGGCTGGTTGAGATAGCAAGGAGGGTTATTTTTGGTAGTTTTACTTCTGAAATACTGGATGGACTGCCATTTGGTACTGGTGCCAGACGGAGTGCCAGACATTATAGCGCAAAACAGATGTAATATTCGTGATCAGAGGGTCAAAGTAAACCCAAGGACAAGTTAACACCCATGAAGACAAAACCCGTTGGAAATCAGCTGTGAATTTAAAAAGTGGCAGTGAAGAATTGAATAAATACATAAGTAAAATAGATAAATAGCTGAAAGAATAGATAAATAAGTAAACAATTCAACAATATCAGTAGTCATCCAATATCTGCAATGGTACCTGAAGCAGAAATCGCTTTCAAAGGTGACTTCTGGCGTTTTTGTTCCCAACAAAAGCCTTATCCAATTTTTTCCCGACTTCAGGTGACATGTCCGGCCTCGTCGAAAGGTCATGTGCTCGAATGCGCGTTTGCGTGCTGTCCTTCATTTGAGGGTGCAGATCAGGTTTGTTGGAGAATTTTACGATTCAGTTGTCAGTATTTCGTATTGATGGGGGAAAATGTGGCAGCCCTGGCCTCCATTAGGATCTATGAAGGGAGAAATCCCTTTTTAGGCCTGAGAACATCTCTTCTATAGCCTACGGCCTCTCTCGAGTTATGAGCCATACTCAACCAGGTGGCTATCAACAGCGCTTTGTGACACTGAACATTTCGGCTATCACCTTCCACCTCACTTGTTCTTCGGTTGTGAAACGAACGTGCATAGTTATAAAGCAAGGCACACTTCTGTATTGCTCATATTCACCATTACCGTAGAACTATAGTAATCTAGGTTGGCGCCAATTAGTTGGGCTATAGTTCTCTATACGCGCAGTGTCGGCGACGGGAGGGGGGGGGAGCATTTTACACCTTCACCTGTTTCTTTCTCTTCCGCTAGTTTCGGTTTACAAGTCTCACTCTGGTGAAACTCTGTGAACTCTTGTGAAGCTGGAGCAAGCTCGTCTAGCCACCATGGTAAAACGTGTCAACTCAAGGACAGATTACGGATAGACGCCAAAAATGCTGAATCTTCGCAGTTTGAAGCGGTGAAAGTGTGGAGGTGTAGTGTGAAAAATTGGTCGCCAGCGATGGGGCACGTCGTAATTGATACACACGAAGCGGATGGTCATATTTGTAGCTGCTTATGGTCGGAGGGCCTTTTTTGGCCCATCGAATTTGGTTGCTGGACCTTTTTCGGTTTCTGTCCAAGTGTAGTGCACTGAATATCCACCGTCCCGCTCGATGACAACTTTTTCAGAGGGAATTGTGGAGAAATTTTCTGGAAGAAATTCCCCGCAAAATTTTCGGGAAATTGGGATAATTTAGCGAGTATGGAAGGAAGAATGGGGGATCATGAAGGGAAGGGGGGGTGGGGTCGTGCCGGTGGAGGAATTTCTGGAAGAGGTCGCATTTTCGCAAATTCTTTCACAACGGCAGGACCTGCCCTGCCCATAACTCCTTGTTTTGCTTCTTTTGGCCTGTATTGTGTCTTCTTGGGGTTACCCTCCTATCCTGGAGCTCACCTTAATTCTGAACTGCTCCGGAGTCCATTCTCATGGACGACTTGTTGAGCTGCAGGTGCGTCAGCTGTTTGATGGCAGCGGGTGTTTTTGCATCCAATTCACTTCAGTCGACCGCTGTTTTGTTTGCAAATGCAATTTTATAGTTGTTGATCGATTGACCTGAAAAATGGATGTTCAAAAGGTGGTTAAACTCTTATCGATCGACTGTTATCGGGGATTAGAAAATTGCCCCGTCACAATTTATTCCTAATCACCATCGAATTACACGTCATATCCGAAGTTGAGGAGGCGTGCTGCGTATTCCATTCGCATGGCTGCGTACTCGGTAGTAATAGTAATGCCTTTCCCCGGCACAATATAGGATGAAAATGGAAAGACCCTTTAACCGCATCTCGCGCTATGTTCGAACGGCGCACGCAGCCACGCCCTCTCCAACTCCGCGATTTGGCATGTTTATTTCGTTCCGCTATCGAGAACAGTCGATCTCTGTGGGATATGGGAAAGCGGTATTCAGGGCCACTATGCGGGCAGAGTAACGGGGAGAAACAGTTTGACTTTACATTTGTAACCTTTTTCAAATTTGTTTCACTTATTCTTTTTTGACTGTCCCAGCTATTTCCAGGGATATTATTGTTGTGGACCTGATGACACACAGCGAATCACTGATGGACATACACGAGCTGAACGATTTGTGGCCTATGGCAGTACATTCCAGTAAGTGAGCAAAATTTAAACCGCGTCGCCACCGCGCGCGTCGCAGTGTGTCGAGCGCAAGCTAATTTTCCTCAGCTTTTTATTCTCATTTTCTGCACGTGAGTCGCTTCATTCTATTTTTCAGGATTGATTACACTTTGCTCATAATCGGCCTAATCGTCTCTATCATTCTGTCGATTCTTCTTTCATTCTTCTGTTGTCTTCTTTGCAATGGCTGCTGGCTCCATCGTCGACGAAATCCACACCTTTATGAGACCGTGAACGAAAGTGGCTGGTACCCGATTT